ACTCTAGATAATACATTCAAAAATTTATTAATTATTCATTTCATTTATTTCATTGAGTAACCGTTAAGTCGTAAATACCTTTTGAGCTTGTTACATAAATACAATCCATATGCAAAAGGAAACTACAACAAGAACAAGAAGTGACTATGCAAGTCGGCTGGACGGTTAATAACGTTGTCAACTTGCTCTTAGAACTCGATAACCAATACACATTACGAGTTTAGATGTACAGGCAGTATTTTTTTAAACGTATTCGAAGGGTCATCGAAGGTTGTCAGACTTATAGGCAATGCATTCCAATATTAACATGAACAATAAACGACTTTTCGATGGGGGAGTTGGACGGACGTGGTATTAATGCGAAAGGGTTCCTCTTCGATGTTGAGAACTGCGGACGTTCGATTAAGAGGTTAAAGGGAACCGGGATTACATGATTTTGTTGAGGTAGATGATAAACAGGCTTCACTTAAGATACTCAGGAAAGGATCATTTCAGTTATGCGTATAGCATTTAAAGAGAATTTCTCTATGAAAGTAAAATAACGAGTTCAATGTAACGAGAGAATTAATTCAAGTGTGCGTACCGTTGTCATTTTATTTAAGAACATAACGGTATCATTAAGTGGATGTATGGAGGCCGATAGAGATGAATTATTTTATTTATTTATTTTTTTTTTTGTTATTACTATCATTAGTTTAGGCGGAGAATAAGTTCCAAGTCTTAAGTCTTAAAGCACCAGCATCCAAGGCTATCGGTTTTGTTAAAAGACTCTACTGCACTTGATATTTGAACCCACGACTATTGCAGTTATTGGGCTGCTAGCCGAGACTCTTCGCCTACTCGACCACTTAGACGGATGCAATGATCAAATAAAATTGATGTGATTAGCGTGAAACAAGTTGGGTGTCAGGGTCCCCCTGTTATGATTTTATAAGAAGATCGCCATGTTATAAATAAATAAAAGAAAACATGCAATGACTTTGTTCTTCGCAATTTCATCATATATTATCGCAAGAGACCATTCGTGGTGCGCGCATAGGTTTCGAGACATCCGCGATTTACGTTGTTCTAGAATTGGATTTCATTAAATCCAACTATTATATTGAATGCCAACTATTATTATTATTGTTATTAGTGTGAATCTATTACTTGATTATGATGGTGTTAAATTATTGTAACCCTTGCTGGTAATCTTTTTGTCCATAAATATTTCTACAGTGATTGCCGTCGTCGTCGTCATACTCATCATCATCATCATCATTATATCATCATTATGTCATCGTTGTGATTATCAGGAATGCGTGGTATGTTCATCTTATCCACGTCTTTGATACAACCAGAATGATACTCGACAAAAGTATTAGCCATTTTCCAAGCAACTTTACAAAGACGTTACAAGTCAACAACGCATTTTTGTTCTCCTATTTTTTTTTGTTCTTGTATGCATAGCTTAACATAACCTTGTTTTGTAACGGAACCTGAAGTGTTTTATTTCGATTTATTCCTTCGGAATACCGAAAATACGTAATTATAACTAATGATCGAGCAAAACGCCGGAACATATCCTTAAATATGCATATTTTTGATCGCTATAAAATTCATCTGTCCGTCCGTCTGTCCGTCTATGTATCTGACTATTATGGACATATCCCCAATCATAACAAAACAGGTGTTGATCGCAGATTTAGGCCAAGTCGGTTGAAAGTCACCCCTACACGCGTTCCGTCCTTTGCTTTCAAACGCAAAAAGGAAAGATTAGTTCTTTACTCATGGTTCCACGGCAGGGAAGTTTATTCTATTGATGATCCTATCATACCTATGCAAAAGTGGAAAACAATGTCAAAGCTGGTACAGAGTGCTAAAATTTTATTTATTCTTATGTCTCTTTTTTTTTTTTAAGAGAAAGATGGTGAGTGTAAAAGATGCGACAACAGACGAACATAATTTTCGCTTTTTCTTTAATTGTCTTCTTCGCGTTCCATTCCGCTTAAGCGATGACGTTAAGTTAACAATCGTCACTACAACAAATTATTATTAAAACAATTCATTGATAATAATCGATATTCTTTATGATGATGATGGTTATGATGAGCATAACGTTTACCATAATAATGTTTATGCTTATAGTATTTATTGCTGCCATTTTCATTATGATTTTCTCAAACCTTTCCGCTGCGAGGATGATGTTACTTAGTTAGGAATGGCAAACCATGTGTTGAAATCCATGGATGCAGCCAATGATTGTATTCTGATCGATGAGGATATTTTGCTGCAGAAGGCAAGATTTGCCGAACCAAAAAAAAAAGGAGTCAATATAAACAGATGATGACGTCCAGTTCCTGTCAAAATTTCAACGTTGGAACAATAAATGTTTGGTTTTTCCTTTTTCTTTTTTGTAAATTCATCTGCGTGAATATATAAATGAAAACAACAAACTGAGTGTAGATTAATTAAGGCTTCGCTCGTTGAGGTTAGGGTTAAATGCTTGCGCTTTTGCTGTTATAGTTCTTGTTCTTGTTGATATTGCATTTCATACGTTGATGCCCTATTGTGGTAAATTTATGCTGCACTTCGACTTATTAAGTACGCGGGAGTTGTTGTTGCCGTCGCTCTCTTTTTTTTGTATGTGTCAAAAAAATTATCCTCTGTAGTGAGAAATAATTTTTTCCGTCAATTTATTCAGCCTTTTGTTCTTAATATTTTATTTTGAAGCCAGTGCGCGCACTCATATACAATACAAGAGATATTTTTCCCATGTTTCATGCAAGACCAAGCAAAACAATTTTTTTTTCTTCTTATTTTAAGGTGTTTTGTGATTGTTAATAAGAAATTGCATTCATGCATAGGCCCATCGATTTTAGAGACCCCGGATCACGCTGATTCTAGGAATGAATGTTTAATACCAAGAAGAAAAAAATTTTGATGATAGAAACTATGTAGATAAAAAAAATCACTCACCTTCGAATCTTGGGCGCACATAAAAAAAAGTACTAATACTAATTTGTCCCGAAATTCTCTCTCCGATTAATAAGTAAGAACAAGAGATAATGAAATTGTTAAAATTTTTTTTTTTTTTTTTTTTTTTTGTTGTTGCAGTCAAGTCAGTTGTATCTATTTTGAAGCTTCTTTGGTATAATGCTCCCAAGTTTTAATTTTTTCTTTTAGTTTGTGCAGTTTAGCGAATCTGAATAACATACGGAGGATTAAGAACAGAAGGCGCCTAATTTTGCCATAATAACTCTATTAACCATACTATGACATTTGTTAATTCAGTGAAACATATAATGGACCGATAGACCGATTGCTTTCTAGCTTTGAAAATCTATAAATATGTATATATTGTGAGGAGCCAAAGTCGGAGCTCGTTTTGGCCTCACGGTTTCTCCATCTCCGTTAGGGGTGAGAGAGAGTGCTAGAATAAGAATAGATTAAGGATAGGGTAAGAGCAGATTACGAATAGAATAAGAATAGATTAAGGGATAGAATAGGAATAGCATAAGAATAGGGTAAGAATAGAATAGGAATAGATTAAGAGTAGGCTAAGAATAGATTAAGAATAGCGTATGGTAGAATAATTCAGTGAATGATGTTTAGGGGGGGAGAGTCGGTCGCGAACCGCGAGAGCGCCGAGACGTGGCGCTTACTGAAATACGTTTTGCGGTTATTATGTTGGAAATAAGGGAAATATGAAATAAAGTGATGAAGTTGATAATTAACCGAATCGTTTATAAATTTTCTTGTGGATTAAATTCCTGGGCCGCTGAGCTACCCCAGCCCCAGAGAAAGGACAGTTCATATATATATATATATATATATATATATATAGTCGTATTGAACTGCGGGACCTTCTATTCTAAATTAATCTAAATATATTATGTGTTTTCGTCAATTTTGATAGATTTTTCACTTCAAGAGGAGATTTATTGAGCAAAATTGGTGTAATATACATTGATAAAAATATTTTCCATTATTCGCTACAGCATTTTAGCATACTTGTTGCAACATGGCGATATCGTGTCGAAAGAACTATTATCTGTTTGACAGCGATCCAATCATCGACCCTTTTTCGCACTTCTTGACTTTCGTGGACACGCTTGCCAGCCAAGCCATGTCACCAGGCGCCATGTCTGATGAGTGCACTCGGAGTGGCAGAGCTTACCATTCGAGCAGTGCAACAGTGTAACCCTGGGCAACTCTTACTACAAGTGGTCAATCAAAATGGCATTTACAATCAATTTGCAAGGTATCAATTTTTCCTCCTTTGGGATCGTCCCCATCGCAGGAAAACGTCTAGAGATAATTGCTTCGTCAATTGCTAAGCCGTTCGAAAGTTCTTTGAGAGCGTGGAGATGACGGTATTCGGCCAATATGTCTTACAATTCATTGTTTTCAAGCTTAGTTGGTCCTCATCTCCAGATTTCTTCAAATTAAAGAACAAAAGTAACCAAGGTCGAAAATGCAATTTTGAGCGCTCCATGATCAGCGTCGGCGTACACTGAGTCAATCAATAATATTAAATTGAAAAACTGTGGTTTACACTGGTGCACCAATATTTCCCATTTTTTTATAAGTTCTATCTGTGTAGAAGTCGCCTATCAAAATTAACGCAAACACCTAATAGCGAACTGCGCTCAATGGGGCCCAGTTACAATGCATTTACTCTTAAACTTATATCGAAAATAACGAAATAAATAATTTCACGTTAAGCACATTCTACCTTACACTGTGGCCACGTACTCTATAACAGTCGCATTCGGAAATCTAAGCAAGCCATGAAAATATTTTCTTATGTTCGAGATGAGGTCTTCTTTTACTGTGGCCTGTTTTTCAATTATTTTTCACATTTTTAAAAAAAAACATTTGTTCTTGTAATTTATTTATTTATTTAACTTTTTTTTAACTCACATTGTTGCGATTTAAATTATTAAAGTTAATATATTGTACTTATACTGTGTGTATGTGTGTGTGTGTGTGAACAAACTTGTTCAATAAAACAAGATATGGAGACGGCAGCGTCGAAAAAAATAGAGCGGCATGTACTAAAGGCGGTCAAGACATTGAATCGGGCTTGCTTTCATAACGGAGTAGATGAAAAGGCAATACTTGGCCGAGTTAGGAGGCAAATGAGAAACCTGGCACCTGTAAGGAATGTCGGGCGATTAGTTCGTCAGTCCTTACAAAAACTGATTGATGATGGTCTCGTTCATCGAATAACTGCCGAGAATGTTTTTGTGTCCAGCTCTTCTACGAAGAGACATAGCATTAAATCTCAAAAAAGCAGTTCGTCTCAATTGGATCCCAATAAACCGCGCACTGAGTGCATTAGCGAAGAATCTCTATCCGGAGACGAGTTCGAACGAACGCGAAAACGGCTACAAAGTAATAATAGAAAAATTACATATGTTGGTAGGCCGGTGCCGCTTCCCAAAAAGCGGGAACATATCAGAAAACTTAACGAAAGTGTAAACACTTTGACAAAATCCGTGGATGCACCCAATGATTGTATTCTGCTCGTTGAGGATATTTAGCTGCAGAAAGCAAGATTTGCCGAACAAAAAAAAAAGAAAGTCAATATAAACAGATGATGACGTCCAGTTTCTGTCAAAATTTCAACTTTGAAACAATAAATTTTTAGTTTTTTTATTTTTTTTTTTGAAAATTCATGTGCGTACATAAATAAATGAAAACAACAGACTGATAATGTGTGTATTAATTTTGAAAAGGCTTGGGATAGCTTGAAATGATGGCAGAAGATGTCATCATGTTTTCGGGTTGAAGTTGACGATTAGTGTGTAGGTTCACAAGCAAGAAGAGAAAGTTAATCATTTGAGCTCAGCGATTGTTATGAGGAAATCAGGTTTTCTCGTTCAATTACAGCAGACTTCGGCGGCCTTGCTTAGCGTACAGCATTTGAAATGGTTTGTGGGGATTATGATGAATAAAAGAAGAGACGTGTAAAGAGACTCATGGGATGATTGGTAAATACGCATGAATACAAATCCATGTGGAGCTAGACGTGTGGATGGATAAATGGATGATGGGAACTTGTTTATGGGCAAATGCAGAGAAAGCGAACGCGCTCAGAGATAAGCAGACAAATAGATGAACATATGGAGAGGCAGTCAGGCAGACAAGAGACATAAGACAAATGAAAATTTTGTAAAATGAATAATCGGAATATAAGCAGATTTGTTTAAATCTGAATGACGAAATTGATGGAATCTTAATTTTGCGGGATATAAGCATTCCAAGGTCGACGACTGTAAGATAGAGTAAGAGTAGAGTATAACAGAGTACAACAGAGACTAGACTCATAATTTGACGGCAAACAATTATGCAACTTGATGACATGATTTAAAAAAAGAAAAGACTGCGAAGTCACCTGTTAAACAGCGAGAACGCAAAATGTGAAGAATGCTGTGGTCATGAAGACCACAAGTGTGGAATGGCGAATAGGACATTACATTCAGACAAGCAAATAGTGTGCGATTAGGAGATTCCAGGACACCACATGTACATAAAGGGCTGTTCACTATGTGAATTTTGAATAGATGATCATCACATCTCGTGTGATTAAGCACCAGCGTGTCAATAAGGCAAATAATGCCACCTCTGAGTTCGCATTAATAATATGATTATTTTATTTTCTCCTACGAGTTGCTCATATCTTATGAATACTTGGAATCATATAACAGAGTTCCATTTCCTCGTCCTTGATTTTCTTCAATAATATTTTGCAAAGCTCTTAGACAATGAGTGAGAAGAATAACTAATACAGTTGGATAATGACTTTGAATTTTTTGACCATACTTGATTTCATTTCGATGAAAAAATTTATTAAAATATTTATTGACTTAGCATAGTTACCATATTCTTAGTCATTAATTTCCATTCTTTATAATAACAATCATCATCAATGACGAGCTATTATTTTACACTGTTTTTTTACTAAAATCGGCAAACTGTTCACCCAAAGAACTTGTCAGTGGATGTATATGTTGATGTATCCATTTTTTTTATATATTCGAAAAGTTTGATATTCTCATGCAATGAAGAAATTGTATATAAACCCATTGCGTATAATATATCGTCTACCGCCATCCTTGTATATTGTTTTATTTTGGTGCGTGCAAATACCTTACGTTCTCATGTATCTCATCCTTGATCACTTTTTATAAGAAAAATGTCATTAGAAAAGAGAGCACACCTCTTAGACTTCCAAGAGAAGAACCCGTCGTCAGGTTATAGACAGCAAATCTTCAATCGTTCTTTGCCGTTGACTGTGCGACTCTGACTGAGCGAGCGAGAGCCATAAAAGCAACAGTCAACGTTTATAGGAAGCACCACGAAAAGGTGATATCTATGTTCACTTATTAGGAATCCCATAGTTCTGCTCCCTTCAATTAAGCATACAATGTGCGTGTAGACAAACCACAATGACACAGCCGGTTGGTGGTAAACTCTCGTTAATATAACATCTTTGCGTGAAATAGTATGCCGTAGTTGCATGCAATTTCGATAATCTCACATTAGAAGAAATATCCCACGAGATAAATGAAATTAAAAGCAAAATCTATGTCAACAAATAGAATTAAATTATTTGGAATTGTTTATTGTAAATGATAAATTAAAAAAAACGACACTAATTATAACTCGATTTGAAAAACTAACCCTTCAACTGGACTGGAATTTATTCAATTTGGCTTTCATATACAAATGATTGATAAACAAATCGATTTTATGATAAATTTATAAAAAGGTCAGGTTAAAGTTTTGAACTAAGCGAGCGTGACCAACATTGGCATACGACACTGAAACTGAATGAGTCTTAAAAACTAAACATACAATTACATAACTAAATGACAGTTTATAACAAATCTACTATGTCAGAGTATATTAAAGTGTTATTACAAGTACATCCGCCTGAGTAGCCGAAGGCTAGGAATCTCGACTAGTAAGTCAATGGTCGTGGGTTCGAATCTCAAGTGCCGTAGAGTTTTTAATAAATGCCGATAGCCTTAGATGCTAGTGCTTTTAAGAGTTTAGTCTTAGAATTTATTTCTCTGGCTAAATTAATAATAATAATAATAATAATACAAGTATACAAAGTATTATAACACCATTTCTACATGAGGGAACATATCTTATAAACTATCGAAGGTTCCCCAATGATAGTCGAGTATATATTATTATTATAATTATTTACACTAAACTGATAATAGCGGAAACCATTCAACCAGCAATGATAGTGCAATAAATTCAATAATTTCTTACAATGGAAGCGACAGCAAAGATGAATGACAACACAAGCAATGTACAATGGGCGAAGCTATCTTATTTAGGGGGAGGATCAATTGCAAAAACTAAACTATTTACTCAAGTAAGAAACATTATTTTATAAATTTGTTATTATTTATTATAATATATAATAGAAATTATTTTATTGAAAAAAATTTTTATGTTTTAATGTTTTTTGTTTAAATATTTTTCGAAAAATAAGGGACCAACACTAAAAATGAAATATAAAAAGAAAGAAAATCAATACATGAAAAATAAAGAGGAGCAAAATGCTTACGGTGGCATTCCAGTGTTATTACTCTTCGATAGATTTCTTCCAATCTCTTCTATTAGATGGTGTTGCC